CAAAAATTGAATGGGAAAAGTATAGTATAAGATGCATTAAAGACAGTCCAAAGGTATTACATATACATCAGACTATCATGAAGAAATGAAAGTGATCATCACAATTAAGGTGACACCCTTTTAAAACAAGAAGAATTTAATAATTGGGAAGCTACCTGTGTCACAACACATATGATGATGTGTATGGGATTAGATATTATTTCAAATGAGACACAGAATTCACACAAGCACTTTGAAAATAAGGTCAGTCTAATGAAATTGCCTTTTATATTAGCAAATAAAAGCAATTAAATGAAGCAAGCATGAAAAACACCAAATTCTAATGTAGATTAGTCAAATACAAAGAAAGTTGAAATCATCCAAACTGTCTGGTTTTGTATCTGGACAAATACATCTTAGATAAATGTCATAAAACACAGCTTTTAAAACAGATGAAGATAAAGTTTGTTACACAGGTACTTTAGATGGATGAGCCATTTTTTATATCGGACATTTTTAACTTGTCGCAGTGGGGAAACGCTGATGTAATTAATAGCATTAATGTTGGCTCAGTTCTCTTTAGTGTCCATGACAGTAAACCAGAGTGCACAACAGCATGACCTCCCTCGAAAGAATGAAGCCAGCATAGTGCATTTCCTGCCATGACATGTAAAGATCTCTGCATGAACTATGTATACTGCAAACTTCTTTTTTTAACAGTTTTATATAAAACTAGAAGTCTGACTTGTTGAGATATTTTCAAGCTCTTCCATGCACGATTCCTTTGGGAACCAGATATTTGAAGGTCTTTTTACATTTCAGTCCTATTCTAATGCGCTTGGGTCCGCTACTCTGGCCTTCCCGCTGTGATAGTTAATGCACCCTCTGATGTGAAGCAGTTTTATATATCATACATCAAGCCCATTAGCGCAACCATTAGCCAAACCATTATATTACCATCACTGTGTTTCACAACTTGTATGAAGTTCCATCTCCAGAACTGAATCAGCAACAAACATGACTAAAGAAAAAAAACAATAAAGACACATTTTTCAAAGTGTATCCATTCAGATGAAAAGATTCCATCTGGAGGAACATTTTACTTTGGGAAAATATAGTTCTAATTTTATTATATTGTATTGTTATTACTTTTCTTTTGCATCTGAACATTTTTTTTGCTGTTTGTTCCATTGATAGTGAAGTTTTAAACATAATTTGCAATTGGCAAAAACATTTTGTAATTTTGTCTGTGAAAATACACATTTTAAAAAATCTATTTTTCGTATGCAGTGCTTTAAAATTAGTCTTTTTACATTTTAATAAAGAGAAGTCTATCTGTTGGATGTTGTAGTACAGTCTCATGGTCTGATCTAAGGTCATCCATTTCCTGAAAGAGTCATGAGATGGTCATCTCAGACTGCTGAATCAAAAGTAAAAAAGGATCATTGTACGTTCCCACATAGAGAGTTGTTATTAAAAAAAAAGTGCCAGCGTTCATCAGGGTCCATTCAAACTTTTTGCTCAGGAATGGTCCTCACTGGGTGAAATGACCCAGCCGTTCAAATTCCCTAAATACTAATGAAGGAGCTTCAGTTATTTTCTATCTTTTACAATCTCACTTAACACAGGAAACAGTGGAAAAAAGATCATTTTATTTCAGAGTGAGTAACTAACTGGGATTGAAACAGGAAAATATGAGGACAGGAGGGTTAGAGTGAGATCCCTGTAACAACACTTAATTTACTTTTGAGCCTTTTTATTTCCTTTTTAAGACTACCAGTCCTGAAAACAAAGGAGTTATTCATATTGCCTCTCATTATACAGAAAACATCTGTGTGATGGAATCTAACAAAGTAGGAATATTTTATTAGATGAAGTATCCAAAGTGTCAGAACTGCAGATCCACATCACAAAAATATATTATTAGTTTCTGAAATCTTTCCTTTCCTTAATCCAATTTTCCCAAAGTTCAAGGAATAGTATTTAGGAAAAACACATCTAACTGGACTCTCAGTACTTAGAATGCAGAGGTGTCAGGGTTCCATCTGTGACTACACACAGAGTCTAATCATGAACAACAGTGGTAGCCAGGAAAGTGGGTATTATCACAATTTTTCAAACCTGATTTAATTTTTCCTTTAAGCAAAGGATGAACACCCTTTGGTATAAACTAACACATTTGAAAGACCTCAAAAAATCTGAAAACAGAAACTATTTTATGCAGACTGTCCCATATTATTTACTACTTTAGATCAAAGTCACAGTATTAAATGAATACCTTAAACTAACCAGCTTGCAACATATTAATGTAACATATATTTAAAGTGAACCTACTTTTTCATTTACCTATGTATATGACAATTGTTTACATCTAATCTGAAAATACCACATGCATGTCATGTGCCCGAGTTTAGCTGGGAATATTGTAAAAAAGCATTAAATCCTCACTTGTTTCCATAATGCGACACAGGTCTCTTAGGTATAGTTAGAAAATGTTGCAATGCTACATTAATCAGCTAATCCCGCAGCTGGATAGAGTCACACTGTTCCTACACAGGAAGAGGGAAAACACCACATGAATCCGGAGGCCTCACACAGAGCATCTGATGCTGGGAATAAAGAGTCACCATCTTGTGCAAGGGGTAGGGGGAGGAGGAATTTCACTTTACGGGAAGAAATATCTCCCTAGTGAGAGCACTGGTGAAACACTCCATGCGAGTGTGTATGTGAGAGCATTCGAGGCATGTGGGTTACAACTTGGATTTTTGCAAACGTGCATGAGTGGATAGCATTTTGATGATTCCTGCATTCCCGTAATTCTTTCCTGTGAATTTCCAGGCAGCATGAGGCTCACTGTTCCATAGCTCTGACATCACACAGGGGGTTCCTCTGCCTTCCACATTCTTCCTCTCTCTCTCTCTCCCAATCCCACCCATATTTGGTAGCGAGAGGAAGGGAATCCCAGATGATGACTCAAAGACTTTTGCTGCAGTGGGAAACTCTCTCCACATCTGTGTGCACATCTGTTACGAGGGCATCAACGTGTGCGCCGCATCCCTCACGTGAAAATGGAGTTTCCATCTGTGCTGAATTAAAAAGGTAGCGTGGCTTTAACAGCGGCGTGAAATAATAGCATCTGCCTGTATCTGCACAGACAGAGTGGTGCTGTGTTTCCATTCAGAAACTGGCACTTCAGTTTAAAATGCTTCTTTCTCTCTAAAAATCTGGATGGATAGAAAGAGCAAAAATACAACCTCAGTAATGTACATGGAGTCGACATGAATGCTCCAGGCTGAGTCGATATGTAAGCTGTATCAGTCACCCTGCATTGGACCACCACAGAATGAGGCCACAGCAATAGATAGGACCACTGCTGTTCAATGTGCTCAGCAGAGTGTGACCAACCATCTACAGCCTGCTAGCTGCAGTAAACTCTCCGGGGAGGTTTATTGGAATCACCTAATTTTCTTTTCATTTTCTTTCTTTCTTTCTTTTTTTTTTTTTGCAAGCTAAAATGTGAGTTACCACAGAGAGAGAGAGAGAGAGAGAGAGAGAGAGAGAGAGAGAAAGGAAGGAGCGCGATTGGGTTGGCTAGTGAGAACAAACGTGCTTTTTGCCATATCCACTTGGTTGGATGCATGATTGATGAGAACCGTGGCATTAGGTTTGATAGAGGATGGAAGGGTGTCAGACTGGGGGTCCTAAGCCATATTGAGGCCTAAATTTAGATCACTTTGTTCTTGACTGCATGCCGGTGACAGAGCACTCGGCTCTCTGGGGCTGTCCGAGGGCCACTGTATCAGAAAGGCCGCTGTTGTTCTGCCTGGCACTCAGAAACACAGACGTTCCCTCCAGCAGCCCAAAATGAAAGAAAGGCTTTCATGGAATATTCGGTTTAGCTGCACAGACTGTTGTGTATGATACTCTGGGGACCAATAAAACAAGTAATTCACAGACAATATCTCACCCACGCTCTCTTTGCCATAGACTACAGGAACATAAATCTAACTGATTTCAAGGAGGAGCATTTGGAACGTTCAAAGGGTTTAGGACATATGTTGCTCAAAACAGGGAAAATGGGCTTGGAAAGAAAGAAAATTCTAACATGGATGGAAAAAGAAGCAGTTAAAGATGATTGAAAACAGACAATAACATGAAAATGAGCAAGTGAGAGTAACACGCAGCTATAAGTCACCATGTGCAGACTCTAATTTCCCTCTGCATCATGCTGCTCCCTGCAGGGACAGTGTATGGGGATGTTTAAAAGCCCAGTTACTCAGAAAACCCTTTCTCATTACCAAAACAACCTAATTAAAAACCTGTTAATGGTCTGTATTGTGTATGCCTTTTCAAAACGGGGGAATTACCAGTTAAAAAAAGCCTCACAATCATATCAGCTCAACAAACTGGTGACACAGCTATAGTCAAATAAAACGGTTGAAAACACGCGCAATCGTCCTACACATCCCCATTTGAGCATGCACATAAACAGTGCAGGAGGGAAAAAAGACAACAAATGAGTCACTGAAAACCAACTGGGACACACAGTGTCACATCCTGAGAGAGAGTGAGAGATGCCGTCCTCTTATTGAAGCACAGATGGATTCCTCAATCTGTTATAAGCTAGTGTGCCAAAGGACAACTGGCCACCAAACATCTTGCACCTCAGAGCAGAGATCTAATACTCAAATCAGTCGAGATGTATCAGTAAAGAGACGGTAGGAAATCAGAACATTTTGGGGGGAATTTGCGGATTTAGTAAAACTCTTGGACGACCTCTAGCGGCGCTGCAGAGAACATACAAGCTGGTGTGACGCCACTGTGGAAGGTACCATTGCCATGAAAATAGGTAAGAGGAGTTAAAAATAAAAATATTAAAAACATCTTCGAGCCGTTCTGTGTGCGTTTTTGTGCCAATTTACCCGTTCAATATATGATATTACCTTGATGTAAAAAATTGGATAGGTCACAAACCTTTAAACCTTTAATGAAGTGTCGTGCTTTCTTTTGCTGCCCAGAAGCAGGAAGTGGACACACAGAGAGGCGCCTTTTCTGAGCTCATGTTGTTAGGCAGAAAGTAGGCTTTAGATAGCCAACAACTGTGCTGGCAGGTCCTGGTATTAGGTGAAAAGCAAAAAAAAAACTGGTGTTAACCTCCCACCTGCAAAATTCGCGTACACGGCATGGCCGGTAAAAAGAAGCGCACGCCAAACTTGCAAAATGACAGTTGGGTTGTTGTCGCTGCAGGTAAGTGCGACTGTGGAGTGGACCCAGCTAAAAATGCTAACTTTATCTGTAACCTGGAAAGTCTTTAAACCTTGATAGCTATCAGCTCTCCTGACAGGCAGCGGAGTCTTTAATGATGGAAAAATGCATCCCACATTGGCTGCATTGTAAAGGAAAAACATATTTGAAGAAACATATAAATTCCCTTTTTGTGTACTTACAGTCATACTGATTGTTGATACATTTACAGAATGGTAGCTAATATACTATTTGACGTTTTCTGTGTTGGAACAACTATTCTTATGCTGAATATATTTGCAATATAAATTAGTAGTTAAAAAAAAAAATTTCATGTCTCTCTTATTTGCTAAAGTGATACAATTTAGTCTGCCTAAGTGTATGTATGTGCTATTAATGATACAATAACAGTGCAAGGGATTTGTTATACTAGTAAGAGGGAGAACTGCAAACTAAAATCCACATTCTGTGTCCTGTGTTTCAGCAACACTTTCATGACCATTTCTGCTTCTCTCCACAGACTCTGTGATAAACACTAAGAAACATGACAGTGATCCGACTTTTGTGAGACTGAGGAATCCCGCAACAGGTTTAACCTTCTTATTCATACATTGATAGTTAGCTTAATTGTGCTGTGTGGTCGTTAAATAATGATGCAGTCTCATCAAGTTACAGATTGGCAGAAGGGTTTGATTTCTTTTATAACATTTCAGAGACTTTTCGGTCTGATTTTTGAAGCTGTGTAACATTAAAAACCAGTATTTTAATGTTTAATCTCTATTTTTAATGTTTCTTAAAGTCAGCAAAGATTTTTTGCTCTCATTAAGAAAAAACAACACAAATCTGTATTTCTAACTAATGATCAGTATTGCTTAAGGTCAATTACTAGTTACTAGTCAGGAGTAACAATGTGGCAAACTGATGATACATAGTAGAGCAACAGGTTACACTGAGACAAAAGTAAAGACTTGAGAAGTTGCGTTAAATTTTCCTTGAGTTTCACAACAGTCTGCATCACTATTTTGGACTGTCTGTTGCAGAAGTGAAAGTAACGCAGTTCTATGTTTGTCTACCCGGCAGATGGAGCATCTCTGTACTTGCTGGGCAGCGGCGATACGCAGCTGTACGAGGTCAAAGCGTTTGAAGAGGACTTCCACTCCTGGTTCGTCGGCCAAATTGTAAATAGAGGTGGGAGCCATTCCACAGAACAATGCTCACTTCAAAACAGCTCAATCGCCATCACAGACACCCACTCAGTCGATCTTTTCACCTTTATTTCCTCATCTGCGTTATTGGTTTATAGTTTATAGGTTCAGAGGCAAAATATCCATCTAGAAATGGCAAGCAGTATCGCACTGAAGGACTGAAATGAAGAGCCTCTCTGCATCTAGTGTTATGATATCAAAGCTAATCAAAGGTAGTTGTGTAGAGCCAATTAACCAGGGAACTCTTCTAAAACAAACTTGCGTACGCACAAAATGGTAGCTAAAATTTGCAATCTACAAAGAAAATGTAAGGTTTCCTGAACAAACTCTGACCCTCACGTGCACAGCCACTGAAGCCACACTGAATCATGATTCCTCTCATGACAGTTAATTTCCCCCAATATCTAGCTTAAATAATTTACTTTATCACGCGCTTTTAAAATAGCCAGGTTATTTAGAGCTGGGAAAACCTTGCAAATGGGACAATTAGGAGGGATCACCAAGCTTGTCCGTCCCATGATGATGACTGGCAACTGGCTCTTACCCGCACAGATCAGCCGGCACGCAGCCTATAATCAGCCATCAATGAACCGTCTGCCTGAAGCCACTTTTAGAACCATCATAATTCTGTGAAACTATCATTCCCGCTGTCCTGAATGGCTTTATTGATGTGACCTGTGGATACATCAGATTTCCCCACACTGTGGGAATAGCAGGCCAACATTTAAAGGCAGCCTGTAGCAACGTCCGCTTTTCCAAATGTAACCAGCATCCTGGTACCACTCACTTCTTTTTGTTTGTCGCCCCACATCTGTGACCACCAAACAACTACCCACCCTACCCACCAGAACATCGATTTCTGCCACAGTACCACTGCATATCAGTGCTTTTAACTTCCATTGTTGCCATGGTAATACACATTGACACTAGTGAGGTGCTTTGTGTTGACCGTTATCGGTTTAATGTAGGAGTGTAGAAGAGATACAACATTGTACACAAAACTTTGAGGTGCAGCTGTGCAAGCGTGGTTTTAAAAATTTTCACTTTTTTTTGGGGCATATGCCGTTTTCGGCTTTTGGGCGTATGCACTTTTTCAGCATAGATCCTACACAATGTTTTATTAATGAGATCCCATATCTGTAAATGACAGTACTGGATAATTTCATCAGTCCTTTCATTTGAATGTTTTAGGTCACAATTGGTGTTGTAGTTATTGGCTTTTTGTTTATTTTTTTTCCCTTGATTTTTAAAAACTTTTTTCATTTGTCACGTCTCTTTAAACAGATGGAAGACTCCTCTTTGTGACGCCAATGGATCCTCTTTATCTAATTTTGCCTTATTTGATCAAATCCGGCAACGAGGTAGGAACCAGAAGACGAGTCCTCAAGGGTCTCGTTACAGCTCGACGTCTCCCGCTCCTCCTCTGTTACTCTAATCGTGAGGCGGCTGTGCGTCACTGGAATCTGATATACAGATTGTAATAATGGGATTTCTTTATCCCCGAGGGTAGTTTGTGCAAATACTCATGTTATTCAGCAATTTATTGGACTCCTTTACGATGGCCTTAGAATTAGGTCAGCCGAATACCTGAATATACTCAATAATATCCCTATTCTTTCCACCCCCAATTGTTTTGTTTTGTTCTGTACTGGTATCCGGCTTAATTCTGAAGGTGGTCGAGCATGTTCTTTGACACACTCGGGCTCGTCTCGTCCTCCTGTCGCATTGCTATCCTCCCAGCACACATCACCTCCCAAAATGAACTGATGGTAGCGGCTGCCTCCTCCCATGCGAAATGTGGTAGAGTTAAGATTAACTTATGATTATGGGGTTCATTGTTGCCCACGGCTTCCTTTCATGTCACCGCTTAGGATATATTTAAGCAGCACAATTAAAGCAGATCTCTCTTCTGCTGCCTGTATCACCCCCTGTTCCAAGGAAACTCCAGAACCAGAATTACCAGATACATCACAAGAAACATCACTACATTTATCTTTGCTTTCATAAAGATGTGTTTGTGGTCATGTGGTCAGCCTTTCTGTTAGTCATTTTGACAACTTTAAAAGCAGTCTTTACTTTAAAGTGAGGCCGAGATGTGGTGGGAGACGAGGGCTCATGAAGAACAGGATGGCTGACACCCTTCAGAACACATATCTTTCTGTCAGAGGGCTCACTTTTGATCGGAAACACAGTTGGATCTTGTAACATTTATCTCGTTACTGTTGCTCAGGGCAAGTTCCAACCTGTGCACCAAGTGGTGATGGATGAAGAATTCCCAGCTTGTTCGAGGCTTCTCAGCTGCACACGTGCCCAGGCCTCATTGCACCACATTGCAGAGGAAAAAGGTATCTGGTTTAATTATCTATGCCTTTTATTTATTTTTAGTTGACATAATTCACCTAAACACGTAGCGCACTCCTTCAAATGTCATGCTTCGTACTTACAGAGGTGGGAAGCCAGAAGTTCTATCGATACAGTCAGGAGCGGACCATGAACTGGTTAAAGAAAAAGGTAAAAACCCAGCAAAGTGCTAGGGGTTGTGTTACGAGGACAAAAAGTCTCTATGGAGCCTCTTTTTTATTTCAATTTCTTTTCAAGGTGGAGAGGATAGTTGTTGCCTTGAAGAAGAAAAACATCTCCGTGGGAGAAGGAGTGAAATCCTCCACATACGTCAGGGCCCAGATCAAGTCAGAGGACCAAGAGGGTAACCAAATTTCAGAATACTGACGTGTTTTAAGAGAAAACAAGAGAGTCAACTTTAACACAACTCGGAAAAGAAAGCTGAGCATCGTCCACTAGGTGGCAGTATTGTCGTGTAGGATGCACGCACAGATGGCTGAGTTGGACTCAACCACCAGAACAATTAATAAATTGAATTATTTCTCCCATATTTGTATATAATGGAAGACCTTTCTATTCTCTTCCCTCTCATTTCTCCGCTGAGGCAGACGACTACCTGCGCTACGCCCATGGTCTGATATCAGAATACATCTGTGAGGACCTGAGCAAAGCCTTCCTTAAGCACCTGGGGTGTGTTAATTGTCGTTGCCCTTTTTGTCGCCCGTTACTTTTGAGATGTTAGACTAAAATGGCCTCTCGACTGCACCCCACAGCTTACCGGAGCTCACGAGCCCAAAGGAGACAGAGCCTCCTTCCAAGGTAGGATTGACCCTAGCACGTTTCCTCACTTCTGCTTACTGCCTAAGACCCCCCCTCCCCCCTATCGCTCTTACATTGTTGCACGCTTCTCAGAAGAATCTTTTTTTTTTGTGACACCTTGAGTGGCTTAACAGTGGGTTTGAAGGCACTACGGTTTCTGTGGTGCATGTTGTCATGAAAAGCATATCCCACTTCCCCCTTTGGCAGAAGCGGAAACTTTCAGACAAGCCGGTGGAGGCTGGAGAAGACTACACCAAATTCAACAGTGCAGACTTTGCGCGGAAAGTGAGTGCACGCGGAGCGTACCTGCCCAAATCGATTCAAGTATTACTGGAGGGATAAGCAGCTCTGGACATCATCTGTCCCAGCCGTGTTATCATGGCCAGAGTGGTCGCCTGGGTTTTTATCTCAAGTGATTTTAGTTTTGCCTGCTTACTGCTTTCTTTAAGCTCTCTGTATGTATTATTAACGTGGGCCGGTCGGACTCACCCCGCAGAAACCCGATTTTCCTGCCGTTGAGTTGCATTTCTTTATAGTTAATGAATTCCCTACAGTCTGTGGGCATGGTTGCCGAGTTCTTTTGCCTTTTCTTAAATGTTTTTTTTCTTTCTCTCTCACCCCACGCCTTTATTTCAGCCACCCAAAAAGATGACAGCAGCTCAGAAAAGTCTGGCAAAGGTGGACAAGTCAGGCATGAAGACAATGTCGTCCTTTTTCAGCCCTAAGGTCAAAGCGGAAAAGAAATAATTAATATTGTGTGTATTGTTTTTATTTGTGTGCAACACTGTTGTAATAAAAAAAAAGGAAAATGCATTTGACATTTTGTTTTAATTTTAAGTAATCTAAAAGGAACACAGGTGGAGTCAGGATCTTTTTTAATGTAAATTATTAATACTGTAATATACTGTATATTAGATCTATAGTTGAGCTTATATTTATACTTAAGTAAATATATATTAATTAATCTCATACCATTGATATCATAAAAACACTTTCATCCTTCTGACTCTCGTGGAATCTACATTTTTAGCCCTAAACATTGTTCATTCTCTCTAGATTTATCATAAATACCACTGAGAGGTGTCTGAAAACTTGAAAAAATTAAATCCAATCAATCAGAAATGTTAGATTCATTGCAATTTGCTGTATTGACCCCTCAGATTGAATGTCATTTCATCCAAGTTTAGAATATATCCAGTCAAGCTTAGCAGGTTTGGAGCTATTCAGACATCTTGGGCCTTGGACTTTGACTCGTGGTGTGTCGCTTTTGAATGAAACTGACATTTTCTCTCGGCAGTCTATGACTTTGAGCTTGAAAGGAACCATTGCTGTATTTTACTGTTGGCTTTGATACCTGGATAGAATGCAGGCACTCTGAACTTTGAACTGTAATCAGCCAAAATTCCATATCCAACACAATATCGAACTTTTCTCTTTTATAAATCCAGTTGAAAGGCTTCTTTAGAGAAATTCTACTCAAAGATCAAAGTAATTTTAAGATGTCAGGCGGAATTTGAGTTTTCTTTTTCATCTTTTATGTTCAAGCTTGCAAAAAAACATCCATCACCCAGCATGTTATATATAATATCAAGTGGGAGGGATTTTTTTTTCCAACTATGATGGCCGAAAAACAATAATGCATTTACAAGACTGGAACTTTTGCAGCTACCTCAGTGTCCTAATTTGTGCATGCAAGTTCAGTCACAGTGTGTAACAGACAAGATTAAATAATTCTATCAGTAACACGTGTGTTTATGAGCCAACGGTCTGGGTCAGATTTCCCCCGAATTACTATTAAATTGGAAATAATGTTTTACTTTAGATGTTGTTTTTCCAGTGCTGATTGTCCAGCAGGGTGGTGTGGCAGTGCTGCTGGTTTCAGATGTCCATCAGGCTTCAGTGCTTTTTCAATTTGGGCTTGAAGCGCAGGGTCTGGAATGCACTGGCCACCACTTTGGGCAGATGGATCGGGTTCCTCTGCAGGTGCAGCCGGCTGCTCGTGGACCCGTGCTGGTTTTTCTTCTTTCGAACACTTTTATTGGCACAGTCGTCAACCACCCTCTGGTCGGGATCTCCTGCAGCCCGAGGGACCCTCAGGACCCAGTTGGAGTGGAGGTCGTGCTCAGCAGAGCTGGAGGCCACTGTTGTTGGGCGAAGCGAAAGCAAAAGAGCTGAAATGAGGCTGAAAGTGGACGAGTGCCACTAACTTTATGGCTACCAGCCATATCATTATTCTATCAGAAAGTGGTCATTTTCCTATATCATCGAGGTCAGATGAGGCAGTTGCATGCTCCGTCCTGACTGACGTCTCCCACCCAGCCCACCAACCTGTTTGACCTGCTCCCCTTCTGGCAAGGGGATACTGATCATTCAAAGCCCACACAGCCAGGATGAGAAACAGCCTCTATGTCCATCCGAACTCTAAACAGGTTAGACTTTCCTCAAAGACCATGTTGCACGCGATCAGATATACCTGATAACAGCAGGAAGAAGACTACACGCAAACAATTTTCACTCATCGCACAGCAATAAATGATAAATATTTAAAAAATGGTTAATCTTTTTTTAATTTTTAAAGGGCCAAAAAAGGACTTCAGGCAAAAAAAAGTATCTTTCACTTGCTTTAAAGTGTTACGAGTGGTAATCCATCTGCATTTAAACAACGATAGATTTACCATACTGTGCCTCAACAAATAAAATCAGTACAATATGCAATCTTTGCATTAGATTTGTGTGAGTTCTACCCTTTTTTGTGTTCCTGTGGGCTGATCCGGCACCACTTTCATCGTTGTCTCACCTAGAAAGGTCAGTTTATCTGAGTTAGCTTCCTGTTCTGCTACCATTTATTACGTGTAAACTTTGGTTAATTTGACATCTTTTACAAGCCTGTTTCATTTTTGCCTCTGAGTATTGAGTTGATATATTTTTGGGTTAAATAAAAAAAAGAAGTAGGCTACACTTTTCACTGTTTTTGTTTATTGTGTGAGTGTGTGTGTATGTGAATAGAACAGCACTTCAGGCCTTGTCCATATTTTATGTAAATTATGTTTTGCACATGGTTTATTTTCTTATTTTTTTGTTTGTGTATATATGAGCAAACTTTTACACTATGCCTCACTGTTTCTTTCTGTGCAACACCAATAAAACTGTCAATTTCTATTCCCGTTTCTACTGAGCTGTCAGAGTTTAATAGCACTTTTAATACTTTGTGTCCATTGAATATTATTGAATTTTAGGAGGACGTTTCCCAGAGAGATCACAGCAACAAAACCAGAAACTCAGCAAAAACACAGAAGCTTTTTAGAAAGCTCTGTAGATTAAAATGTTAAAAGGCAAATATTAGGCTACAGAGAAGTTTTAGAGAAGGCAAAAAAAGTAATTTAACTAAAAACAATTTAGAAAACTAGAACCAATAAAGTAAAGTGAATCCAGAGAACACAGGAAATGTTCAATATTTCAGAAAAATGCAGAATATCAGAAAGTGTAATTTAACACAGCAAAGGCGAGGAAAATGTGATTCAGATATGAAAATTCTGTTCTTTTTTTCTTTAAAAAAAAATTGGACACAGAAAAATGCGTGTAGTGGCAAAAGCTGTAAAGATCAGTATAAACTCCACTGGAGGTTAATAGTTGGCAGAGATGGGATTACATAAAAAAGCTGGTGGAGGAATTAAGTTTGCCTGAAATATCTGGGTAAACATTTGTATCTGAAAATGTGTGCAAAGGTCTGAATACAGAAAAGTTTTGCTTCTCTAGTTCAACAGGCAACATGTGCCAGTTCTGCCCCATGGCCTGATATAAGCATATAGATATAAAATATTTCACCAAAGTTTTACTTCATGCCTCACATCTGATGTTACAAGACTCTGGGCAGTGACCAATAACTCCAGCTGACAGGTGTTCATTTGTAAAACATGATTTTAATACATCTGGTTCTATATAAGAGGTGATGAATGTTATTTTTTAGCTGATGTGAAAGGTTGAGAGAAGAAAGCTAGGAAAGACTAAAAAAGTACCAACAGCTGTGGTCATGCATGAGGAATCCCCATTCTCCTTGAAGTAATATACATTAAATATATTAAACCCCATCATCCAACCTAATCCCAAACTCTTGTTTTCTTAAGGACATAATTTTCTTTTATTTATATGACTAGATGACCATTACTGATCTCCAAAAGACAAGGGCCTCCCAGTGTGGGGATACTTAAGACTATTTTTTCATGATACACACTTTTTAACAATGTTTCTTATGATTGATATCTAAAATTTTAATTGAGCATTCTGATCTATGATATTAAAGTAGTCAGTTGTAGTTAGAGGTGATAAGGATTGAGGATTTTCTTTAATACATTAACATATATAGGTATTATTTTACATTATCATCAGTTAAACTGCTTTGTGTAAAATAGAGTATTATCTGTGTTTTCTTACTAAATATCCTGTCAGAACTTTCTGTGTACCAGTATTCTGTTTGGTTCATGCAATCATCCTATCAGCAACAATTTTTCTTTTAAAAAGCATTACTTTAAACTAAAGGTTATATTGTTATTTTTTCTTTTTAAAATCCGCTTGTAAAAACCATCCCAAACTTTCACAACTATTGCTTTGTCAATCCTTACGTTAGTCGGGCCACTCGTTTAAAACTTGTTGGTCTCCAAGCCCAAAACATTTCAAACTGCGATGCTGTTTTCAAGAAGTTGAATGTTGGTCATCATAAACAATAAAAAATAATTCCAAACTTACCTATAAAATCCACATCTGCATTCCCATCATCGCTGTAAGGTTTGCGCTGGGGTTCGTTGTCACAGCTGGAGATGACCGAGTCAAAGAACTGCAAAGTGTCCTCCTCATTGGGAACAGAGGGTGCTGAGGGTTTGGCTCTGGATATCTGTGGTTAGAAATGGTAGAACATTTGCCTTTGGCATTCCCTGCCGTAAGTGGGATACAATAATCTGATCTTACCGGTTTGTCCTTAGAGGGTGGCTGGGGTGCGGGCTTCTTCTTGGTGGTCACCGTGGCCTTTGAGTCGTTGCTTTTCAGGTCGCTCACGCTCTTCGTGTACTGCCTTCTCAGAGCCACGAGCGCCTCAAGGTACTCCAGACAGTTCTGATTCTGCGAGTACAGCCATATCCTGTCCTCCCGTCGCTGATAGAAGTACAAAGTAGACTCAATGCTCACTGTGCTTTTGCTCCGTTTTAAAGTGGAGCCGGTGGCGGTTTGGGTTTTCTCTCCCACCACCAGCATGGAGGTGCTGCGCACCAGCCGGACTGTGCAGGCTTTGTGGTAGTCAAGCTCAGCCTGGAGCCCATCTCCCGACTGCCGTCCTCTGTTTCCATGTTGGTTTGGACGGAACACATTATTGATTTTCCTGAACATCCCTCTAAACTGTATCTGTCATGGTTTCAGACTCGCTGTTTAGAATATTTGAGATGTGAGGACCATCCATCAGCATTCCCTCTTAAAAAACAAACAAACAAAGCAGCCATTAAACCCACTGAGGCTATTTACCAGAACCTGTCGCTATCCAGAGTGCTGAATCCCTCCGAGCAGCTTCTCAAATGCAGAAACAGAGGGTCTGAAACAGGTGTGGAACCTGATGCTATGGGATGTTGCTCAGCAACCCTGCAAAGGCAACAGGCTGGTAACTCTATACTTTGTGCTATCATTATACTGATCGACAAGCCTGTCAGATATTTCATCCAACAATATCCAAAGGACAATCTAAACAATAAAAACATACCTACTTACTCTCCCACAAACATGATAAATGCGATTTAGATTCAAATTCATTATTGTTTTATGATATTTATAAAAGACAAAACAGAGAATCGTAAATTGTATGAAGCTGATGCACTGATAGGTAAAACAAGTAGAAAGTTATGAAAAGCTATCAGCAAAACAAAAAGCAGGATAAAAGCAATGTTTGAATGGCTTGAGTATTACAACAGCATTAAAGAAGTTAAGGATGTTGACTTGTGTCTAAGGTTGCCTATCCTGATTAATAATTGAACATTTTCTCTCTGGTTTCAGGAGCGGCTGTTGTTGGGCTCCTGTCTAGTAAGAGGAGGAAGTCTGAAGAAAAGCGTCTCAACTGAAGCGAGTTGTGCTGACAGACAAGGGGCTTTCATGCAGGAAAAAAAAATCCTTTCCATAATTATAGCCTGAAATGTTCCGTCAAGCACTTTGACCAGACAACTGATTTAGAGGCAGCTTTCCTCAGTAAAATGACAGTAAAGAAACTATAGGCATGCAGATTAAAGGAGAAAAAACATTATCCATTGGTCAAAAGGATCACATTTCAAGACACAGCTCTTTCTCTAACTACTAAATGAAGACTCTATCAGAGCATGAAGTCACACTTCTGCTTTAAACCCAATACGGGTAACAGGACGAGCACAGCTTTGAGCTTTAAGAACGTGTTTAAACAGCCTGAAATAAACTTTGAATGGCCGGCCACCTGTTAGAAAACGAAAAGAGGAATCGGTGTATTTCTGTTTCATGACATATTTCTATTCCATCCTAATCAAACAAGAATTTCTTCTGTGTTTAACACCTGTTACCTTTTCCACAGAAACGGAACATCAGCAGTTTCTCATTACAGTGAAAGCACATGTCATTCAGTGTCAACCGTTTGAATTGTCCTTTTCTGTTAAAAGACCACCGCTGAGGTGAGGAACGTCCTTTTTAAAGTTGAAATAAAAGACACGTTGAATGAAGCAATGGGTGGACGTGTGAGTGATTGTGCCACCAGTACAGCAGCAGGGCAGATGCCGTCAGCTCGAGGGCAGTTGCAGCCTCAAATATGCAGAAATGGGAAGACAGTGAAAACTCCCCCGAAAAACTCACTTCCTCTCTGCACGGTATAAAAACAACAAGCAACCATGCGTGCACTCTTGCTCTTTCAGACTAAGGAAAATATAGAAGAGTGTACATGTCTGGACAATTGCCTCCAAATCCTGCTTGATTTTTTTTTTTTAAGATACAAAATAAGGCGTAATCTCATTCAGAGAGTGAGACTCTGGCTCAAGGTAGGAAGATGTCTGGGTTTAATTGAAGAGCCTGTTAGAGGGACCAGTTTAGGACCTCTTCATGCAGGCAGCAGATTTGTTTATCTTCCTTGCATTTGAACATTTAAATACTTGGGGGAACCAGATTTATTTGTTTGTGCATATCGTTTCCTACTGATCCTGAATGCACTGAAATGTTAGGAGAGGGAACGCTTTTATTGGTTTTTAGCTTTGCCACATAGTCTGACTACATGATCTTTTTTCCCAGGCATGCTTTGTGAGAGCCGACTGCTGAAGATGACCTACGGGGAAGAGGAGGAGCTGGAATCCATCCCTCCTCAAAAGTCTTTCCGGGGTGCTTCTAATCCATCTGAAGCCATCCTTGTATCCAGATCCAACAGACCGGCTCCCCTCGTTCATCACGACTCCCCGGAGAGCACAGGTGAATCAGATGAGACCAGCGGTTTCCTGGAGGCGCACGTTTCTCCTTTGAGATCCCTGAATCTCCAGGGAGCCTTCACACGCAGACAAATCTCTCCGGAGATAGAGATCCCCGTCGAGGACTGCTCGGGTGGTGACACACCTTTCTTGGTTCCTTCATTCTGTCAGAGCATTTGTAAAAACTACAGCGACCTCCATATTGGAGGCGACCAAGTGCTCCCTCTGTCAGCCAGCGACGGCGAGCTGCGGGTCTGCACCGAAGTGCATGTTGTCGGTCCTTTCCTGCAGTCCTGTGATGTTCCACCAGCCGTGGAGGATTCCCTCCCAGGACAAGAAGCCTCTCAGAGTGGGCTCCAGTATCCGCTCAGGAGGGGTTCGAACCACTGGAGACAGGGGAGTGGCCGAGATCGAAGCTTTTTGTTCCAGGGACGTGAAGGTCCATTTTCCAACTCCCTATTGAATCACTACCTGGAGCAAAAACTTTTAGATTTATACCAGCAATATATGATGGAGAACATGGTAAGGGAAGGGGGCCCCGGGTCGGATTCTGGTACCGGCAACATCTGCCCTTTACTCGGCTCGGAGCTGGTTCTGACCAGCCTCGACCAGATCACCCTGCAGCTCAGCCGGGAAGGCAATGTGGAGGCCGGCCTGGCAAAGGACATGGTCCTGAGTTGCTTGTTGCGGGTGGCTGGTGACATGCAGTCAAGTGAAATCAGCACCCCCTTTCTGCAGATTTCAAATGAGACATCCAGAGAGCAGCTCACAGAGAGCAAAGGGGAGTAACCCCCGACTTAATAAACTAAGCTGCTATCCTACTATTATATTGTTATAAAAAAAGACCTAATGATGTTCATTTAATTTTTTTTTTCTCTCATTAGCTTTTGAGAGGAGATTGAAAGCAAATTCTCTGTCTGGGATCATTAACTGTGGAAATGCTTGCTTGTATTATCTGTCATACTACGAGTTGCTGTCAACACTTGAATATCTGTTATTTATGTCTGGTATTCCCAAAGTATAAGGCAATAAACATAACCTGAAATGTTTCCCTTCAAAGAACAATAATTTCAATTTTTCAATTTTTCAATTTTTTCAACACGATCCAAAACACTGCTACTACTGAGTAGAATACTTATGTTATATTAAGTATGAAAACATTCCAAACAAGCAACACTTCTACATGGTTTATATATGATAAACATATTTTTAAACCTAGTGGATTGTAACTGTCATCAACGCAACAAATTTCAAACTAATTATTTTATTTCTTCTTCTTATTGCTGCCTTGCTTGACACAAAATAAAAAAAACAATCTTCTGCGATTACACTTTAACTTTAAACTAGCAATAGCTGTTCTGACTTCTTTCACACAAGTGTCCTCAGGGTCCTCAGCTGATGCTGAAGGCTATTATGTTTCTTTTTTGGCTTTATGTTGTAGATAAAATCAATAAATATTTTAAATGAAAGTAAACTGACAAGCATTTAAAACTGGTGCACAGGGAGACTCCTTCTCTGTGACATGTCCAGGTAGGATCCTCTCACCATGTCTTATCCATAATTTGGAGTAAAAAAATGGCCTTAATGATATTCAGGCTATGTTTTCATCAGGGTTTCCGGCACATCCATTTTTATCTTGTGATGATGATTTAAGCAACACACACACAAACACACACAAAATATGCAGAAATGAAGACAGATTTCTATGAGCAGTCGGATTACTGCAGCAGTCTATCTCTATAGCACTGCATTCTACAGCAATTATTTATGAATTCAGCAAGATTTTAGGGTTGGGATTTACTTTGAACTAATCTGAGAAAATTAAAACTTACTGTTGAGAAACAATTTTTACATTGCAGTTCATACAGAAATAATATGATTGTCCTCTGGAGAATAAAAAAGTTTTGAATTATGTAAAACTGAATTGATTTCCTGTACAGAGCTGCTCCAGATGCAAACAGCCAACTGCAGTAGATCTGGGAATATTTGGGTCGTCCTTTGCATCTGGAGACTGAGCTTTCCAAAGGCAAAGTAATGCCTGGAATGAAATCCCAAAAGAATGTGAAGTGAAGTTATGATGTATAAGATGCAGATGGAGAATATCTGACCTAATTTGTGGAGTTTAGAAAAAATGTACATACCAAGCCAACAGGTGTATCCAAGAGCTCCTGAAATGAGACTATTGAGAAAATAAATTTTGTCACCACAAAGTGCTAATCTACAAATATGTTGGCAGTTTTTGGTGTTTCTCTCTATTTTATCTTTGTGTGAACTTTTAACTTTAAAAGAATGATTGAGAGTGTGAGAGTGACCCCTCAACGACACATGTTAGACAATTGCTTCAATGGCTTCCTTCATTTTCTAGTGTTAAAAAGCAAGAATCTAACTAAGGTTAAAAGTGTGTAAGCACACCTAAAGCCCCTCAATGTTTTTAAGCACAGTGGTAAATATTACACACTGTCTTTTGGACATACCCATGTTTAAAGTTCTCCATTAAAAGGAAATGATAGAAATAAGTTTCCATGTCCAATTCAAGAGGAGTATTCTTGACTCTCCCACAAAGTCTGCAGTTTAGAAAACAGTCACAAGGGGGGAGCATTATCACTTAACCTCTGAAGCCCTCTGCCCTTGTTCCTCTTTCATCCCTCATCTTCATTCAGCTGCCATCTGTCCATCCACTTAATCATTCTTATCATCTACGCTCTCCAGCTTTCAGACCATGATGTCATAAGGACTGGGCTATAAATCGCCAACACAGTCACTCAGGCACTAAGAAAATTTGACACAGCGTTTGTGATACCGGTGAAGGCTTGAGATAATATATCTGAGCTGTGTGATGTGTCCGGGGGAATACAGTGTACAAACTGTACAACTGACACACGAGGAAGCCCATTTGCAGATTAGAAATTACGTTTGTCCCTTCTTTCTCGTTAAAAGTGCTTTGGAAAGACCTCCAACTCCATTGCAGATCAGTTTGGCCATGGCCTTCTGAGCCGGTGTTTGATCAGCTTCCTTGTTTCCTGTCCAAACAGAGAGCCACAAGAGGAAACTGTGTTTACTGAGCTGAGTGCTGCATTGTCGGAGCTCTGTGAAGTCTCAAGGCTGCAGAAACACATGTTTGGTATTTCTGCTTCTATCTGGAATAAACATTCCAGGTAGATGTGAAAAAGGACCCAGTCCGTACAAACTTAAACAGAAATGCTCTCACACACATGGGATTCACCCAATGCCAAACTTAGTGGTGTCAGCACATCCAAATAAACCCATTTTCACAGACGTTGGACGAATGAAAAGCAGATCGGTTTTCCCAGCAAAGGATGTTTTGTGGAACTGTTTAAAAGAGCTGGAAGGAACACTAAACACAGGAGTCTCTCTTATAGTATTTGTTCATAAAGTCCTCACCTGACACTGTTGGCCAAATCATGCAAATGCTCTCCTTTTCCTTGACCGGAAAGCATATTTAATGTCAAGTTGCGAAGGAAAAGCAGTGACATAAGAGCAGAGACTGAGAACATAAAAAGCAGGCCGGATGGATGCTTAAATAATGTTTTTCTAATGTTTTAGCAATGAAACATAAATGGAAGCTAAAGCAGCGGAGCGTCTTTTAGACATTCATAAAGTAATTTGTCTGTCACAAAGAGCTTTTAACATGGAGGGCAGTAGAGGCAAGGCCATATGATTTCACATGTAAACCAAGGTCCCAGGTACTCTCGCTATTGTGGCTTTTATGCCTTCTACGCTCTGTGGCTTGCTTTTATTGAAAAAAGGCTTTTGCTATGTAGCCTTGTTAATTTCAGTGGTCATGTTGGTTTACTTTTGATTAAAAAAAAACGTCTCTGATCGGTATCTGACAATGCCAACAAATGGTAAAGATCCTGACTTTAAACGGAATTAGACAGGTATAGATGCCACAGTTTCTGTTCCTTCCTTTCACGCATCTATATCTCAGATACACATTTCAGGTAACAGCTTGTATTTCAAGGCGCTTAATTCGATTAACTTTTGTTGACAAGTTGACGTTGAGTTCTGGTTATTTTGCGGGCGGCCTTGAGCGAGCGCCCTTTTGTTTTCAGATTAAATCTACTGGAATGACCTCATGTCCCGTGGCAGTGTGCTGGAACATTTGATGACAGCCCTGCTCTGTATCTGGCTGATTGACACTGGGACACATAGATGGTGGAACAGGAGAACGCACATTTCCCGGTCAGTTAGTCACTCAAGGTTGTGGGGAGCCTGCGGCGCGGGTGACCTTGGTGGAGCCGGAGCAGACAGAGCAAAACCTTGAGAGACAGCGGAGCAGCAGAATCTGCGCTCTCAAAGAGGTGGGAAACATAATCTGTTCATGTTTGACTATATATCAGAGCACGCAGTCCCCATGAATGTGGATGGCAGCTGGCTGCCATCCACAAAACAAATTTTATCCACATGGTTCTCCATAATAAACGTGTTCTATATTTATGTGGGGTTGCTGATAACCCTTATATGCAAAACGAGTTTTAGAGAAGTGCATTTTGAGTTTAAGTGTGTTGTTTGTGGAATATTTGTACTTATACGATATCCTAATCCTATTGTTTGTAGTGTAAAATTGGGCTGATAGTGATTCTTATCAATACGGAAACATTCTGACCTGATTTTATGGATTTTTGGACACAGTTGTTCTTCTATCCCTTGTTATGGTTCTCTTTGTGCCCTTTGTGTACTACTTGGTTACTAAACATGCATGAATAAACTAATCTTTAGTCTAAACAGCCAGGCTAATGTCAAACAGTTGTAAGAATGATGAAGTTGTCAACACAATTCTGACTTCTTTCCCTTTACAGGGGATGGAAATATCACCTGGTTGTACCTGTCTTTATATGCAAAAGTGGAAAAAGAAACAGGTAGCATATTAGGGTCTGTCATCAAAAAGCCAAAACAAAAAAAGAACAACAAAAAGCCAAATGCAACAACAGTCACAAGATAGATCATTCAAAAATGGAAAACACACAAAGAGTTGACGTCTCAGCGAGGAAAACTTAGGTGACAACCAAAGAGATGTATCTCAGTCAGCACGTTGAATAGTAAGAGTAAGTTTCCCGAATGCATAATGACAAAAAAAATTTACTGGCTTGGTTGTTTAGAACTTTTTCCAAGAGAACTTCTGGAAACAGGTTTAAAAAGGTTGTAGCTGACATTGTATCTGAACAATGTCTTCTGGACAGTGGAGACCAATGTAGAGATGTTTGGACATAATGATCAGAACCAGATCTGGAAAAAGACAACATATCAAACTTATACCTTTAACTGTTCGAAAAAGTAGTGACGTTTTGTGGTGTTCTGGCTCAGCAGAAACACGTTTTGTCTGACATTTTTGGTAGTATGCAACACTCATCAAAACAATTTGAATGGTCCTCCACCTGGTCAGAGACAGACACGGTGACAAATGAGTGCTCCAGTCTGTGAACTCTGATTGGACCCAACCGTTTGAGTAATCCGTTTGTGTAAGGAAGGAAGATGTGCCTACAAGGATTCATGCTGTGCAAACAGGATTATTAACACATAGCTTCAAGCGTCCATTGAGGGCTCTTTGTAACTACTAAAGCAAAGAGGGTTATAGAGATTACTGAACACTTTTGAACAACTAAAAGACTTCATTGATTGTCATTGTGTAAACCAATGGCAATTTTCTAAGTGAGTTCAAGTGAGTTCAGAACAATTGCCTTAGAATCCATTCCTTGGGCAGATTATCTAGAGTGAAAGGGGTTTTCAAAAATATTTATTAGCTTATACTTATAGCCCAGAATGACATT